ATGACTCTTTATTGTTTTTGTGTGCCACTGTTTTGCTCAGTGTTCAGTGACCAAAGCTTGATTGTGTACCTTTTCTTGCTATTTTGCAACCAAACTACAGTACTGTACCCCTGGCTCTGCTTTATGAAAGGAAATAAAGATAAGAAAAGTAAAAAGAAAAAAAGAAAAAGAAAGTTACCTTCTTACATATATTTCATTTCATAAAGCTTTTAGTTTGACCTTTTGGTCCGGAGGCTGTTTTTCGGAGATCTTCAGGTTAATTAAATCCTGCAACCCTTGCCAAATATCAACCATTGACTACCTGGATTCCTCTAGGCTAGGAAAGAGTGCTCTCTGCTCTGATACATTGGGGAATGGTGGCAGCTTCTCCTGGAAAGAGATAAACCGCTGCTCTGGAGGAGCCTTAGTGGATTAAGTCCCCAGACTAGGGTGCCTTTCAAAAGTTTCCCTGCCTTGAAGGCCATCTCTAGTGGTTCTACTAGGAAAGGGCCCAGAGGGGACATCCCTCCATAAACTTAAAGCAGATGGACTAGAGTGTGTGATAATGAATTCTCTATTATTTTCTTTTTCTTCGCCACCTGGATCCGCAGTGTCAATTTGTAAAGGCTATCCTCCATTATGGATGCCATCTACAATTCTACAGTTTCTACAAAATACATTTCTTCATTCTGTGCATACCCAACCCCCTCAGTCAAGAATTAATATTTTAATACTACAAGTCTCCACTTGCTGGTTTGTGGGGAATCCAACTACTTCAACATCCCAATCCATTCAAAAATAATAACTGCAATCCTGTCCAAATGAAGCATTTTGAAATTCCATTTGAATCAAAAGTAGAAAAGTTGAGCATCTTTTTCATTCTTTCCGACTTATTTCACCTTTCCTTTTTTAAAAAAATGACTTTAGATAGATCATATCCAAAGATTTTTATTTCTACTATTATTTCCCATGTTTTCGAAGACTAGGAAAAAGTCCACCAAACATAAAAGATGGTGGAGGGGGATCCCCAAAAATCATTTTCACAAGCAAAACAAAGGGGATAGCCAATCAGGAAGCAAAGAAGGGTAATTGGTTAGGGTTGCCCCATACATAGTGGCCTGCCTAAATCATGTCAGTGTTCATGCGAATGGAGTGCTTGCTCCATGGCAATACTATTTTCAGTGTTTATGTTGTTTCACAAGAACGAATAACTGCTGCCTAGAAGACAGTTATGAGCTGCATTCAGTACTCCACTGGAGTGAGGAGAATGGCATTCTGAAGAAGAGGATCGCTACTGCTATTGACGGTTCCAGTTTAGAGGATGGTACACTCTGGAGCAGTGGTTCCCAACCTTGGGTAACCCAGGTGTTCTTGGACTGCAATTCCCAGAAACCCTGGGCAGCACAGCAAGTGGTGAAGGCTTAGGGGAAATGCAGTCCAAGAACATTTGGATTATCCAAGGTTGGGAACCACTGCTCTAGATTGTTGCTCTCCACACATGGAAAGGGTGGAGTTAGGATGCTCTCCTCTGCTCATTTTGTAACCCTTTTTCTGATCAGTAAATATAGTTTTGTATATCACCATGTTAAGGGGTTGCTGACATGGACGCTCCTAGAGGGCTGTCTGTTTCCAGCCCAACCACCAAGGAGCCCAGTGCAGTTGAGACCCCACTTGGCACAGGGACAGAGGAAAGCAGGGTCCACCAAACCCAATTAGAAGACAGGTTGCCAGGATAGGGCACAGGAGACCCACAAACCTTTATGGGAGGTGGGGGAAGAGGGACCCCTAGAGAAGAAAGAAGAGACACCGGGTTAATGTGGGGAATATAAAAGGAGCTCTGGAGGAGATGGAAAGAGAGGACAAAAGAAGGGAAGTCCAAGGAAGGATCCCTCACACCAGGAAAAGGAAGAGCCCTGGGGAGATGTCCAGTAGGAGCTAGAGGAGGTGTGCATTGTTCGTTGCCCCCACTGTGAGTGCGCAGGCCCTAATTTCTCCAGGCCAAAGTCAGCACTTTGTGGCACTTGCCCATAAGCAGAGATAGAGATTCCCACAGCCCAGTGCAGTCAATTTAGAACAAGATTGGAATGAGGCTAGTGAAGAAAACTAGCCCAAACCTCCAGTTAAAGACTTTGTAGGAACTCATGTCCAATAAACCCTTCTTTGTTGAAACCACATTGTGTCAAGTCCATGGATCAGGAAATGGAGGAGGGACCACCTGTTAATCCAGGCTGGGCCAGCAGATCTCATGCACCACACATGTTAATCTTATCTCATTGATATTCTGCTTATTCATCACGATGGAACGCAAGACGGCATATGTGGATTGATTAAGCAGCCTTCAACCAGTTGCCTAGTGGCCCACAACCCAAAAAATAAAAATAAGAGATGAAAATTCAACTGAAATCAGTGATATTTTCTTCCACATATGTATTCAGATCCTGAAGCTGCTTTCCCCTTTTTCAAAAAGATTTGTAGAATATTCTACACACAAAAAAGTAATGTACTGAAAGTTAAGGTGATGAATATATATGCATGTGCAATTTATAGGCACATGTGAGAGGACGTTAGATGGTTGTGATTCCTATGATATCACACCCCATTGTCTGGATGCTCTGGGGTCACTCTAATATCTAAGTGCTGGAAATGTATTTTGACATTTATTTATTTATTATTTAATTTTAGTAATTGCTTAAAATATAACAGCTGAAATTGAAATAAAACAAATCTGTGTTTTCTGACATAAAATACTATCTCTCTTACAAAAAAATCAGGTTCCATAATAGAGCTTGTGAGATCTAGCAGAAATAATCCTCCACTCCATTAAGTTCCATGTTAGGGTGTAATGTTACATACCACTATAGGCATGCTCATGTCACCTAATCCCACAAGCAGATGTTAGAACTCAAAAGTATATAATAAGATATACTTATTATCTCTCTCTTACAGTCTTGGAAACTCTTTTTTTCCTATTCCTCATTTCCTTCCAGCTGAGACTGTGGGCAAACTTTTTTGTCTCGTTTCTTAACATGTGGTAAGCCTGAAAGAGGGCACATAAAAGGACTGCCGGAGATGGACCTGGTTCATTGGTTATTCCTTTTACAATTAAGAGCTCAGTTCACATTCTAACAATATGGTTGTTGCCTAAATGCCACCTGAGGAATGCGATTCCCCAGTGGGTGTGTTTAGCAGAAAAAAATCAATCTCAATGGCACTTAGGACTCCCATCTCTGTGCCATGATGGCCAATCCTTACATTTGGTCAGGATACCAGTGTTGATGTCTAGTAATCACACAGTTCTTCTTGAGTGGATTACTTTATGTAATACCATGACTAGACCTAAGAGCAGATGCTCTAGAACAAGGCAGAAAATGCTAAGGTGGTAAAAATGGACTGCAAATGTTCTGAACCATACACAAGGCACTAACAGCCTATGGTCCAGATGACAGAATGAATGAGTGACAATCAAACAATTTTTCAGCTTTGAAACTAGGCCCACAGGACATCAGCCACAAGTTCTATATTTCTAATTTGGGGACAAGGTATATTTTTCTGCTCCACTGCCAACTATGGAATGAATGAATGGGGTGGAGAAACAGTGTCTGAATGGCTGTCTCCCTGGCTGGCTACTTGGGTGTGGTGTGAATATCCACTTTAGGCCTTGGCTCTGCCTCCTACCTCTAGCTCCATCCACGCTGGCAGCTGTGCTTTTTGCCCCACCAAAGACAACAGGCAACAACCATCGCTCGCCCAAAGTGGTGGGTTCCATGCTAGCTGCGAGCCAAGTGGATTTACCTCATTATTCTGCATACATGTATCAAACCCATATCACAACAACCATTGAGCCTAGATGTGACCATTGAAAACGTGGGTTCAGGTGGGCAAACAGCTTGCAAATGGCAATAGATCAGACTCCCAGGGCAGGTCTCAAGTGATTCTTAAGCCAACTGGGGCCCTCCAGATATTCCACAGGGAGACCTATTCCCTTCATGAATGTTCTTAGCTTTAATATTTCCTTTTAATTATGTAAATTGCCTTTTTACTCACTGGTGCTTAGTTTTGAATATTGTCTTTATGTTATGCTAAAAATGTTAGCCACTGCTGTATAGTCATTGTTTTCTACTATAAATATTGCATTTCACTGTTGTAAGCTGCCTTGGGTCATTTTCAAGGAGTAGTTTGGGGTAAAGCATATTTTAAGTAAGTAAGTAAGTAAGTAAACAAAGAAACAAACAAACAAACAAATTCAGCCCCAATCAGCTGAGTCAATGAATGGTAAAGGGATGAAGGAAATTCGACATGGTGCCTGCCTGTTGTGAACAATCAAACATGCCCCCTTATCTTACAGATCACCTCTTCACTCCGAAGTAACTAACACCACGGAATGGCATTAAAAAGGTACATTTCTCATCTGACTTTTATTGCTGCTTTGGCTGCTACTTTTAAATACAATCTAAAAGTTTCTGAAGCCTTACAGCTGTATACTATACTACTACTACTACTAATACTAATACTAATAATAAATATTAGTATTAGTATTAGTATTAGTATTAGTATTAGTAA